AATATTAACTTAACCGAGACTTATAATTTGTTGAGGATTTATAAGAAAATTCATAGCAATGAGACATTGCTAGCCATAGGGATAGACCAAGGCAACATAAAATAGGGTTTATATGAAGTTAGTAATGAGGCTGACCTCCAAGCTAGAATAGATTTTCTTATACATGAAGTTAAGTCACTATTATTAATAAAGGAGTATGGTTTCTATCATTTAATGGAGAAATAAATACTTGTTTTTATTTGTATTTTCAATGACAAAAATGTTATTCCATTATATATAAAATAATAAAAATGTCTAACCATGTTATTGTTTCCTTTATTTTTTATAGTATGTGTCTCTCCATTAATGGAGACGATCCTTACTCTTAATAAAGAATATAGGAAAGGCTATTGTGCAACAAGAAATATGTGAATTTTGTGGAAGTATTATGCCTATGTGTCCTTCTTATCCACCTCTTAATGATTGATATGTTGAAGAGGAAAATACAGAGATCTTTTGGAAATATATATTTAAATAACTATGGCCCTAATATTCATATGAAGCATAATAATTTTATAGGTAACTCAAGTATTCTGGCTATGCAGTATCAAACTCAGTTCCAACAGCCTCAACAATGACCATAAATAGAAGATATTCTTAGTCATCTCATGTATGAGATGGAAAACTCCAACCATGCAATCTTGCATGAGATGAGAAATGTTATCGAATTGACTCTATTTAATAGCAATGTTAGAAAGGTAAAGTTGGATAGTTGGCAGAAAGAGGGGTGACTCTATTTAATATGCATTTCAAGAAACATCAAGCTCCAATGGAGAACTTGAACATGTTCAATCCTAAGGTCTATTAAGCAGATTGATAGCCATGTTATGGAGCCACTAAGGGATAATCAAAAGGAAAAAGTGAGTAGTTCAAGGGATAAAAACGGTGAGGCATATGTGACCCATGTGAAAACCAAGCATCCATAGTGAAAAATGAACAGCAAAGGAAGATAGCAAAAGGAGCAAAAGCAAGCACAAAAGGCTTGATGCAGAATCAAAACGAAGATGAAAAAAAACTTCTTCTGAATTTTATTTGAATTACTTCTTCTCTGAGTTTTGTTACAAGGCACAATAGGAAGTGCTACATATAATACAACTTGGAATCAAAACACAAAAGATGCAAAGAAAAAAGAAATCCAATAACTTCTAAAAATAGCAACTAAACTAATTCTAACAGAAAACAGAAAAACAGAATTATGAAAGATTTCTAAAGATAGAAAGATTTTGATTATGAGATTCTAATGTATCCAATTTGTGTGGGCTGAAATCTGGGCTATCCAGAGTAGTGGTAGTTTCAACAACCCCAAAGGTTGATGTGCTACTTCATTTGTTACAAAGTATGAAGTTCGAAGTATATGTCCAAGGCCCCTTATCCTTAGAGATTAGTCAATCCATAGGCTACTGCACAATCAAGTGATATTTTAGAAATGTTTAAGCACATGAAAATTAACTTACATTATCTCGATGTCATTAGACAAATACCTGCATCTGTTAAGTTTCTAAAAGACATATTCACTATGAAGCGAAAGTGTAATGTTCCTACAAATAATTTCTGATCGAATAGGCAAGTTCAGTAATTCTCAATAAATATCCTATGAAATATAAAGACCATGAATCACCAACTATTGCTTGCAAAAATTGGAGATCATCATATTAAGAGAGCCATGCTAAATCTAGTTGCAAGCTGTAAGAACCCGATTTTCTAACCCAAAAATTTTAAAACTTTATTCATGATGTCAAGTGATTACTTTGAAATATATTACTTAAACGATTTGGAAAACCTGTGAGCATACAAATATCACTTATGTTCATGATTCCAATGCGGAAATAATCAAAAGTATCCATTCATTAAAAACATATCATTACCCTTCCTTTATCATACGCATTATATACAATTATCCTTTCTCAAATAACACTTCCACTTTACCTCATCATACATGTAGGAGAAAGTCACTTATACATAAATTCACTTAAACATATTCTTCATATTACATGCCTTATTCAATTACAATGTCGTGTACATAAAGTAACTACTCAATCTTGTACTCTTCTCAGCGAACATCCAATGCACTATAGCCGCCACCTGAATTCCAATACATAACACATACAAGCAGAAACAAAAGAGAGTAAGAACCAACTACGGTAACTGTAGCGTGGAATTACATGGAGTAATGTTCATATAATGTTCAATCAACACATTATACCACATAATGTTCATATATTCAATTAGCATAATCCTCGTATCTCACTTAGACAATTCAATCCATCAATACAACATACCATAAGCTATTCACTTTTCAAATCACATCCATTACACATACTTACACGTTTTATCCCATTCAATTTTCATTATAATTTATCACACAATACTCTCATCCAGTGAACAACAACAGACATTATATTTAAGGCATTTCCATACTTACGCAGCATTACAATACTATCTCATATAGAATTAATTATACGTTGCTCAAAGAGCCAATACCACGAAGGGCAAGTCAATCATTGCTCAAAGAGCCAATACCACGAAGGGCAAGTCATTCACAATATCACGTAGGGCAAGTCATTCTCAATACCACGTAGGGAAAGTCAGTCTCAATACCACGTAGGGCAAGACATTCGCAATACCACGTAGGGCAAGTCATTCGCAATACCACGTAGGGCAAGTCATTCTCAATACCACGTTGGGCAAGTCATTCAAGTCATTCGCAATACCAAGTAGGGCAAGTTAATCAGAATACCACGTAGGGCAAGTCATTCTCAATACTACGTAGGGCAAGTCATTCGCAATACCACATAGGGCAAGTCATTCGCAATACCACGTAGGGCAAGTCATTCGCAATACCATGTAGGGCAAGTCATTCTCAATACCACGTAAGGCAAGTCATTCGCAATACCACGTAGGACAAGTCATTCGCAATACCACGTAGGGCAAGTCATTCTCAATACCACGTAGGGCAAGTCATTCGCAATACCACGTAGGGCAAGTCATTCGCAATACCACGTAGGGCAAGTTATTCGCAATACCACGTAGGGCAAGTCATTCGCAATACCACGTAGGGCAAGTCATTCTCAATACCACGTAGGGCAAGTCATTCGCAATACCACGTAGGGCAAGTCATTCTCAATACCACGTAGGGCAAGTCATTCTTTGCTCAACCTCTTAAGGGAGCTAAAATAGATTTTCTCCCCATTGTTTCACAATCATATACAACCATAAAATCCACGCATTTTATAACATCATTTGTCATTTAAATACCACATCAACGTCATAAGCACCATGTATTTCATTGCTTATCACCATAAAACAATTCACAACATCATCATCGTCATATAACATAATCATTGTCCTTTTATCACAATTAACCAACTCACAACATATCCATCGTCACATAATGTATTCATGTCCATTTATTGGCATTAAATAGCTCATCACACAATCATTATTACAAACATACTCATATATGTTTATAACAAATAAGTGACTCACAACTTAGACATTTTCATAAATATACTCACATCTTTTTATCACAATAAACAACTCATACCCTATTTATCATCATACAACATATTAACGATAGAACTATTTCTCATAACGATGTATTACCATAAATGAGCATATTGCATTTTGTCGCGACCCGATTTTCGGTTGGAAGACCGGCCCTGTGACTTAGGGAGAGGCGAACTCGATTTCTACCTCTTCCAATTGATTTGGAGTCGCCACTACGTTTTTTGCGGTTAAAACGTAGAAAACTCTAAACATGCCCAATTCGGATAATTTGGTCTTTAATCAGAGATTCTGAGCTCGGGAGTCGATTACGGATCGGAGAAGGTATTAGCACCCCGTCCGCCCGTATTAAAACGGTACCCTCGCTAATAACATGGACTTTTATACCCTTAAAATTATTTATTAAAATTCGGTAAATAAAAACAAAATATTTTATTTTTTATTGTTGTGCCTGACAAGAATTCAACTTGCTCCTACGTATCCCTAGCTGCAATAGGGAAATCAAGGCTATGTAGTTCTGGTTCGAAAATTAATTGGTTGATTTCATTGATTTGAAGGTATCGAAATGGTTAATCAATAAAATTGAAACTTGTTTGCTAAAGATATTTTAACATATGGAATTGATAGTTTAGAGACGGCACTGGTCGTAGACCTCCTTCCCATTTTCAGAGAATTTAGAGACAACACGGGCCCTAACCTTACTATAAAAATTCCATTGAAAATCATTTAAATAAGTAATATAAATTTCTTTAAAATATTTGATATGGAATTAATAGTTTAGAGACAGCACTGGTCGTAGACCTCCTTCTCATTTTCAGAGAATTTAGAGACAACACGGGCCATAACCTTACTATAAATTCCGTTTAAAATCACTTGAATAAATAATGATTATTTTTGAAATATATGATATGGAGTTAATAGTTTAGAGACGGCACTGGTTGTAGACCTCCTTCCCATTTTCAGAGAATTTAGAGACAACACAGGTCATAACCTTGCTATAAACTCCGTTTAAAATCACTTGAATAAATAATGATTATTTTTGAAATATTTGATATGGAATTAATAGTTTAGAGACGGCACTGGTCGTAGACCTCCTTCCCATTTTCAGAAAATGGAGAGACAACACGGGTCATAACCTTACCATAAAAATTCCATTTAAATTCATTTGAATAAATAATGATTATTTTGAAATATTTGATATGGCGCATTAGGATTTCTATTAATATAACAAATATAACTTTCAAAATTATAATTTATCGCAAACATAAAGACTTAAAATCATTAATTTAAATCACGCGAGATAATTATTCATAGAAGTGTAAGGGTAGATAAAAGGGGTTAGTAAATAAAAGAGGTATGGAATTTAACACTAACTTAAAATGCCGTTATCCTAATTATAAAATAAAAGATGGTAAATAATACAAAAAAAATGATATGTGGGCTGAAAGCCCACAAAGATGAATCAGGTTGGGAGGGGGTTTTGTTGTTTTTCTTCATTTGGTTAGTTTTGGGGTGTTGGGTGACGTTGAGAGGAGGGAAGCGAGAAGAAGAGAGAAAAGAGAAGACGAAGGGGAGAAGAAGATGGGTTCGTGGGTTTTCTCCTCCGGAAACGGCAGCGGCGTTTCCGCTCCGGTGAAGGTTAGCTCTTGTCCTCTTCTCCGATGACGTTGATGCGGTGGCTTCAATTCCCTTCTCTGTTATGACCCGAAAGCGGCTCGAATTTGTGGCTCGAAATCGATAGAACCACAAGGATTCGGTAAAGAACCGTAACCCATTCTCAGTTGGAATTTCTATTGTATATAAAATTAGACATGGCTATCGATCAATGTCGTCGTATCAACATGGCAGGTGATGTTAAGATTCTCGGAGTGGGTTTATTTCCATAATACTATGAATATATGCAAGGGACAATTCAGTTTTAGAGATAAAAGTGGTGTTTCTTGATTCGGTTTACTGATTATTATTATAACTTGCCTTTGTTTAGTCATGAAAGATATGCTTAAGATTATAAGACCGATCCTATGCATGAATAAATAACAGTTACACCACCAGCCTAGGACTGTTCATGAAAGACATAGTAAATAGTGAGAAAAATCTGTTTACAATTGTAGTTTCAGATTGAGTGTCTTTAACATTGCTGAACATAATGATGCTACATGAGGACTATTATGAGCCTAATAGAATACCAACCTGGATTACCTAGTTACTGCAATAGTCCTGCTTAAGAGATTGCCAATTCTCGGCTAGCCGCTAGCTCCTTCCCTCTGTTGTATGCTTTGTGTTTTGCGTCGGATTCTTGTTAAAGCTATTGTATGATATGCAAATTTCTGTTTGATGCGTGTGATGTGTGAGGAAATTTATGCTTTTGGTGTGCCGTTATTTGGGTATTTTTCTGGGTGAGTTGTTCTGATTGATGTGTTCCGGTATTAGGATGTTATGAATGGTATATGAGTGGTGGACGAAAGTAAAGTGAAAGTCTTTTGGATGAATACTAAGGTTTATGCCAAAACAATTGCATGTATCTATCTCCTCCTTGTGTATGTGTGTGGTCTTTCTTTTAAAGAGCTGTGAAAACCCTTTCAATTGCTCATTGATTGCCAGAAATATCCCAGACTTTTGGCTTGCTGATTATTCTATCAAAACTGTCCATAATTGCCTATTATGCTTGAAGTGTAACTAGTCCAAAGGTGTATGTATGAGGTCAATAATTTAGTGCTTCTTGGGCTCTTCTAATTGCATTTCTCGACTGGTCAACCCTTCTGCATTCTGTGCCTTTCAAACTAGTTATCAATGTAGTGTTTGTAACTGAAATTTGCATATCCCAATAGGCAACCATCTGATGTATATTTCTGGCTAGTTTCCCTTAGGATTTATTATGTGATTGATTTGGCAGTAAAGTCATTTATGCTGTGTATGTAACTGAAAATAAATAAATAAAAAGTGTCAGCCTTGCATCTGTTGATTGCCTCTCACACATCATACTTGACTGATTACTCAGTTATTGGCTTGACCGTAATGTGCATGTTGCTTGTCATTCTCCATAAATTCCTTATTTAATTATTGCTTTGCAACATCTATCATCCTGTTAATTCAGCCACTAATTAGTGAAACTTTTTGCAGGTAGTTGCAACCATCATTTGGTATTCTTTAACTTTTTGCAGGGAGTAGTAAAACATATTGAGTAAGGAGTTGTAGGTTTGATAAATCATAGCTGTTACAACCAAAATCCCCCCGTGTTGTGCTGAAATCCTCCTCCAACCAATGCATAATGTCAGTGATAGCATTTGGTACTGCATCATTCGGAACCGTTCTTGAAGCTTCTCTCGATCCTATATTAAGCTCTCCAGCTTATACTTTGTGATGATAATAGGAGTCATGGTGGACAATGATCTTTTATTTGGTTGAATGAAACTTGTTGGAGCAGGACCGCTTTGGTGCACTCAATACAACAATATACCCACATATCACAAGGACAATTGTATCCCATACCCACATAATCATTTGTAGCTCTGCGTTTTTGATATAGTGCACTTAATGTTTATCATGAATTTAATCCAATCCTTACCATTTCTTTCTTCTTTTGGCGGCTAATCTGAATTGTAGTGACTATAATAAAAAAATGGTATCCTTTAGCCTCCAAAACCATAGCTTCAAAACCATAGTTTGAACATTGACAACTTCCGACATCTATGAGTTCAAAATTCTTGCTACCTTTAGCAACCAACTAAGCAATTTGGATTTTTACCTTGCTCTACAACATTCTCTAAAAAATTTAAAAGCTTTTTTCTAATAAATTATGAACCGAATAATCATCATAAAGTTGGTTATGAGACGCCTAAATATTGTTCTTTTTTTTTTGAAAATTTTTATTGTTTTAAAATCTTCATATTTTTTATTTTATAAATAGGCCGAACAAAATTAGGTGTTCACACATTTTAATCAAATAAAACGGTTCACTCATATATCTCTACATTTATGGCTAATACCTCTTCATGGAAAATAAAGACTCTAACATGGACTACAAACTTCTTAATATTCTCAATTCTTGAGGGAAATTGGACAAGATGACTCTAATGAAATACTCTATGACCACAATGGTCTTCTCCCTCACCTTAGGTTGCATAAGCTCCATTGTTCCACAAAAGAGCTCCATCTCCTTTCATCTCCTTCAACCTCCATTGTTCCTTTTCTACCTCCAAAGTTCACCAATGTGTTACTAAGAGGTAAGGGGAAGGGGTTTTGATGTGTTTTTGAGGTTTAGTGGAGGAAAGAGTCGAAATCCATGGGGAGCCGCCGTTGGGAATGAAAGGGGGGAAAAGAAAGTGAAGATTAGAGTTTGTGAAACCCTTATTTCACTTTTTATAGCTGGGTAGTCTCGCCTGGGCGAGAATAGCTCGCTTGGGCTAGAATAGCTCGCTTGGGCGAGAAGCCCACCACATTTTAAATTTCAAAACACGGACTCTCTCGCCTGGGCGAGATTCTTTCGCTCAAGCGATAATCTCACAGCCTGCCCAGGCTTCTCTCGCTCAAGTGACCAATTCCTCGCTTGGGCGAGGTTCCCAAAACTCCCAAATTTAAAACACTAGGCCTCTCGCTTGGGCGAGGCCCTCTCGCTCAAGCGAGAATCTGACAGTATGTCCCATTCTTCAGGACTGTTACCTTATCTTCAGCAGGATAAATTTAGGGTGTCACACAAACATTAATTTATTACCATATTGTTTATACTGTTAGGATATATGGCCACCTAAGAAGGGGGGGGGGGGGGGGGGTGAATTAGGTGTAGAGACTTAAATTGAATATTTTTACTTATATTTTAAAACTTTGCAAGTTTAAAGAGAGTTTTTCTATGAGCGGAAGTATTAAACAAAATAGTTGAATAGAAGTAGAAGATAATTGCAAAATGTAAAAAGTTAAGGGAAGAGAACACCTATTTATAGTGTTTATTTCGTGCACATGAACCAGTATGAGTTTGTGAAAAGTTAAGAGCTACATCAGTTCTGGTATGTGTAATCGATTACCATATGGTGTAATCGATTACATCAGTTAAAAATTTAAAATACAAACTCAACGGAATTATGTAATTGATTACCAAGTTTAGTGTAATCGATTACATTATGAAAAATGCACATATCTGGTGCTTTTAATATGTTGTAATCGATTACTAGTATAGTGTAATCGATTACATCATGGAAAATGCACAAGTCTGATGAGTTTATCAACCTGTAATCGATTACCAGGATAGTGTAATCATTACATCATGGAAAATGTACAAGACTGATGAGTTTATCAATCTGTAATTGATTACCAGAATAGTGTAATTGATTACACTGTTTAAAAACAGAAAACTTATGCTTTAGTGCAAATGACCTTAGTTTTATGCGTGAGTTTTTCAGAATTTATCCTTTATCGTATAGTTAAGAGATTTTAAGTTTAAGTATCGTTTTACCTAGAAGACTTAGACTACACATATGAGCTTCTTTGACTTTTGATTTGCTAGTCTTCTTTTTGTATTTGATGACATAGTGAGCATCATCAAAACCTTAGACATAGATTGGGAAACATCACCATCTTCACATATACTTGCAGTCGAGATTAGGGGAGTTGAAACTAACTAGGAGGACTCTTCACTTAGCTGATACATCTATGAAATATCTCATGGTCATTATTGATGACATTTTGGTAAAAACAAATGAGAATTTCTACCACCCTATTGATTTTGTTATGCTTTATACTTAACCTACTTGTGATCTCTAACCTAACATCCATATCATTTTATGACGAATATAGAATTCTAGGGTTGAGAGAATTCGGAGAAAATGCAATTATTCTTGTTATTCAACAAATTGAATCATTTATAGAAATCCAAAGAGAAGGAAATTTATATTTAAATAAATTAGCTTAAGGCTAACTCTAATATAACCCCCGTGAAGTGGAAGTATTCCGATCTAATGTGGAAATGCTGAAGAAATCTTTAACTTGCAGTTGTTGTCTAAAGCCCAAGAATTTGTCACTGGTGAGTGGTTTAGTAAGCACGTCAGCAGTTTGAAGAGTTGAAGGAATATGCTTAACATACAATGTTTTGTTCTGAATTTTGTTTCTAACAAAGTAAAGATCAAGCTCAAGAGATGGACTTTCTTCATCAACATCCGAGACTCAATCAGTATCACAAAAATCTTTAAGAGACTAAGAGTAAGAGAATAAGTGAAGAAGAAGAGAAAATTCTAGGGATGAGAGAATTGGGAGAAAATGCAATTATTCTTGTTATTCAACAAACTAAATCAGTTACAAAAATCTAAAGAGAAAGATATTTATATTTAAATAATTTTGCAGCTAACTCTAATATTTTATGTTGTCCATTCTTGGTGGCTACATCCCATGCATTGATTAATTGTAGGATTGATGTAATGAAATTATCATTTTGAGAATATGATTGTTGAGCTTAAAAAGTTTCATAAGAGATAATATGGAACATGAATTGAACTTAATTGATAGTTTATCAACTGATTCATTTATGCATTCTAGTAGTGTTGACCCACTAATGGTATTCTTGAATTATTCTAATATTAATTTTGATATTAACTCAGCCATTAAGGATGTAAGTTTTTTTGTTAGATTATGTTCCTATGATGAATGATGACAAGTAGGTAGTAGCTAAAATACGATTCTCTCCCTTAATGGAGAGACAAGTGCATGATTTCTATTTGTTTTTAATGGCAAAAAATGTAAATCCATGGTAATCAAATAGATAAATATGTCATTGAATGTTGCATTTCCCTTTAATTTCTGAAACATTTGTCTCTCAATTATTGGAGAGTATCCTGACTCGTACAAGCTAATGCATGTAGAACCAATGATCACAAGGTGGTAGTCTAATTTTTAAAACAAAGTATTTGTGCTGGACACACCACGATCTAAAAATAGTGAATGAGTTACGCATTTTTGTAATAAGTCATTTGAAATCACTACATCACTTTTAAGATAACTACTCCCTGTCACCGGAATTTTAGAAAAAATTGTCAACCCATCTAGGAAATATTGCTCTTTGCATTTAGATAATGTTTTATAGACATAACACAAAACATTTAAGACTCATATTGATGTTGTTTATGGTAAGGCATGTCATCTCACATAGAGCCTATTGGACTATTTAGCATCTTAACTTTGAGTTGGATATGGCTGGAAGTAAAAGAAAATTGAATTTGAATTTACTATAAAAATTCATGATGGTTCTTATGAGTGTGCAAAGTAGTACCAGAATAGGATAAAGAGAGCGCATGATAGTAACATCCATAGGAAATCCTTATCATCCGGTGAAAAATGATTATGTACAACTGTCATTACATTTATCTCCAAGAAAATTGAGATCCAGGTGCTCAGACCCTTAAGTTGTGAAGATTGTCTACCTTCATGGTGTTGTTGAGGTGGAAAATGTCAAGGATGAGAGTGTTTTTAAGGTAAATTGACAACGCTTGAAAGCATATCTTGAGTTGAAGAACCGATAGGTAGATGAGATTTTGGTAGACTACCATGTGTACCAAAACTGAGGTACACTTTATGTTTTGTTTTTATTGAGCTGGATTAACTACCTCCCAGATTTAAGACCCTTTGTATGGAGATGTAATTAGTACCATTCAAACGAGGAACATGGACGAAAAACCGAGGCAAATAACTGATTACTCCATTGAGTAACCAATTACTTGAAGAAAATGAATATTTGGGTAACTGATTACCTGAAGAAGAATTCTAGGAATTCTGGTAATCTTTGAAGAGGTAACTGATTACTCTAAGAGAGTAACCAATTACCATGTCAAGTTTATATATAGGAAGCTCCATATATTCAAAATTTTCAAAATCTCTCCTTTTCCCCCACAAGAACCCAAAACCCCTTACTCCAAATCTTTCATTTTCAACAGCTTTTCGCGAAATTTGTGGCAAAAATACCTACATTTTTATGTATACAATGTGGAGAAGGTGCTTCATAGTTTAAAGCAAGCTCCTAGATCCTAGTATGATAGATTAGCCAAATGTTTTATGTGAAAAAGGTTTTTAAAGGGGTAAGGTCGACACTACATTTTTTATTAAGAAAATTGATCATCACACTCTACTTTTACAAATATATGTTGGTGATATAATTTCCAGCTCTACTAATGAGGATTTGTTTAGTGAATTTAATAAAATGATGTAAGGAGAGTTTGAGATGTCCATGATGGGAAAGTTAAACTACTTTCTCAGACTTCAAATCAAATAAACCAGGGATGACATCTTTGTGAACCAATCCAAATACTACAAGGACCTATTAAATATATTTGAAGTGGATGAATGCAAAGCTATTACAACTCCCATGGGTTCAAACACATACTTTGATACTGATGAGGTTAGAAAGTCTATAGAAATCACCAAGCATCGAGGTATGGTCGAA